ATTAGTGTTCTGGAAACTCACCATGTTACCTTGGAGATATTACTAATGTATCATGTATAGCTTGTCAACAAGTTGGATATGTGGAGCACAAATAACTTAACTATGGCTGTTTGTTCAGACCAAATGGAGCTAAAGCTGTTTTTCACAATTTGGAGAGGAGAGGAGAGGACAGGACAGGAGAGGAGAGGACAGGACAGGAGAGGAGAGGACAGGAGAGGAGAGGAGAGGATTATTATTATCATGGATCATGCATACAATTAAGCTGTTATTGATGTATGTATATCATTACCTGATTATTATCAGATGTGTTTACATAAAGAAGTAGGCCATAACTGCAGCTATGACTATTTCTTTAAAGGTAAGCTCCCCCAAAAGCCATGGTATAGTTTGCACACTGCCTTTGTTTATTTGTTATTTTGAGAGGTTGGGATGGGGTGGGAGGGATATATAGTAGCTATTAGCCTATGAAGTTGTTGTTTATCCACTGTTTTCTTTTTTTTTGTTTTCTGAGAACTAGCTACTGTACAGGGGTCACAAATGAACAAATAAAGGACAAGAGAGGATCGTTCTTGGCCAGGCTGTACACAGTAGTTTGTCTTTGTTACTGTAACTCCTTGGTCATGAGTCATACAGTACAATAGGGCTATTCTCTACTGTTGCGACATACTAAGTACCCCCCTATAGTGCACTCATCTAATGTAATCTACTGTAACTTGGACATGTGGCATTTTGTGATTGAGAGAAAACAGACTGCTTGTTGCTTCTGTGCAAGAGGAAATAAATCCAGGACTTTGACATATAGAGGTTGAAGTGTTGGAAGGTAAGTGGAGCATTGCGGCCGTCTGGATCCAACATCCACTCGTTTTTGAGAGCGTGGGCTGCTGACTGTTGTTTGGTCCTCCATCATCCTGACTGATGAGTGGGTGGAGTCAAGTTGATAGATAGAGGAACAGGTGAAGTAGGGACAGCTGGAGCAAAGTACAGGAGGACAATAATGAGAAGTTCATCAGAGCAGATACAGAAAACATTCCTCAATAAGGTTATCGGCCTCTAGTTGATGCTGAGTTGCACGCAGACTGTGTTTATATTTGGTAGTGTCTGTAATGGTAGTGAGGAGTTTGCAGCTGTCAGGGCTGCAGATGAATCCTTTTTCTTCTTGTGTCAAGTACATCATTCTGCACAGTGAAGGTTCAACATCCAGGCAAAATACATTGTTGAGCAGAAGATGGCATTTTATGTTCCACTGATCATTTTTCTTATGAAAAATTGATTAAAGCATTAAAATGTGATGGGTCCCTCCCTCAGGTCCAGCTGGTGCAGACAGTGGTGGATGGCGTCAACTACCTAATTGAGTGTGAGAAGAGACTGGAGAAAGGCCAGGACATCAAGGTGCCCCCACCCATGAAGTCGTTCAAGTAGACACTAATGCCTGACCGCACTCCACAAACTTCTGGGCACACACACATGCACCAACACACTCTCTTTACCCATAGATATTATACATATCTATGTCATTGCTTCATTTAGTACTGCTACCTATCTAATCGCCTGTCTCTGCCCTCCACCTCTCTATAATAAACTAAATATACTATACACAGCTATCTGGCTAAACCAACCCAGAGTCCCAGAATACTGCATTGGCCACACTGTTTTTATCTTTAAACTCAAATTCAAACCTAGCTCTAATATTGCAGCAAAGATTAATGAAGGATGCACAAACTGTAGGCTGTTGTAATAGCACAAGGATGGCCGGCAGTTTGCCCATCTCTGCATGGCCAACCAGTATCTATGGCTCTGCTCCCAAAGCACTCCTCAGCCCACCAGACCTGGCTTTACCCTGCCTCTGTCCCTTCCTGAAGCATGTCCTATACTCAGCCTGTCTCTTCCCCCTTCATTCCTGTGTGTTGTTTGGTCATTCTTACTATATGGTGCTTGTATAGTAGTCCATCCATGTGTGCTATACTTTCCATCGTGGCTTGTGTGTATGTGGTTTATTTCACCATTTTGAGTGGATTTGAATGTAGATTAACAGCACTAGAGACTCATGTTCTCCAAAGGACTTGTATGTTTGATGACACACTGATGTCAAAATGTAACGTTATAACACACACTGGCCAGGCTGGGTTCTGTACTGTAAGCCACTGAAGCAATATCATCCCAGCTCATCACTGAATGTCACACTATACTGTCTTTTATTAAAGAAATCATCTATTTAACAGTAGCTGCTCTCTCTGTCTCTCTTTTGTCGATAGTGTTGCTTTTTTTAGCTTCTACATGAACGGGACTTAATTGTTTGGTAACCAAGAGGATTTTGCCGGAGCATGAAAGCTCAAGCTTTATGTAACCATGGAAACCAAGCTCAAGGAACGTGATTGCGATCAGCGTAGTTGCATAGTGTCACGTAACAATATTCAGTCAGAAGCATAACAAAACTGTATTATCCCTAAAAAGCCGGTACTCGGTGTTCTTGTTTTCACACAGAGCCAAGATGATAAATCTGGAGGATATCAGACTCTCTTCACTTTTTGAGGAAATTATTAAATAATTAAAATAATTGTTTGCTGCAGCCCTAATATGTATATATTTGGGAAGTATGTTTAGATAAACTAACGCATTGTTAGTTTTGGTCTTTTCATCGGATGTTTTGACAATAACAAAAACTGGAATATACAAAAATATATAATATTGCCAGGCTTATACTTTAAGCTCCATGATGAATTACTATTGCTGTGAACACATGTAGTATGGTGCAAACACACAGTGTACTACCAGAAATAAAATATGCTAAATTAATTCTCTACTGCCTTATCTGCAATTGAGAGTGAATACATATGTGTTTGTCTTTTATTAAAAAGCAACTGCAAAGACGGCAGCGTTTTCTCTGCAGTGCAGGAAGTATGTAACAAGTGCTTTGTCCCATTGTGTCTCTAGTGAAAAAACAGTCTAACAGTTTTTCCAGTGTTTTGGTCTGGACGCTGACGGGACAACAAGGCGTTCAGTGTTCTGACAAGAAGCAGCTGAGATGCAGCTGAGACGTGAAGTGTTGGTGTTGTGAGGCATGAGGAATCTGCTTCTGTCTCTCTGAGGATTCGGAGGAAGGTTCCTCTTCCTCCCTCCCTCCTCTATCCCTCACAGCTTTCGGAGCATGGCACAAGCATAATGCCGCAGAACTCTCGTCTTCTCTCCTCCTCCTTGTTCCAGATATGGCTGAGGAGCAAGCTGGTTGCCATGGCAACCACTTCACAGAAGCAATGGGGACTCAGATTGGGAAGGAAAGGCCTTTGTGGGTAACAGAAAACAAATCTCTACAGTGCAGAAGAGTGCTGCAGAGCGCACAGCCAAACACACACAGGATAAAATGGTGGTTGAATTGGGATGAAAATAATGTAACAGGCTGTGTTTAGTGGGATAGAATGTTCACTAAATGATGAGGTAAATGTTTTAGCCCACAGTATTCAGTGTAATGTGTTTAGGTGATATGCTGATATGCCAGTAGGTGTCCGATCAACGACCTTGAAAGTTATAATTTCGTCAGTGCTGTGTAGTACACCTCATTGACCCACACAGCTTTCTGAACACCACTCCCTAGACTCACACTTTGATGCTGTCAGTCTGCCCTCCTCTAACCTCATTTGGTCGTTCAATTATTTCCATCTAATTCTGTTATTCCCATCTCAACTGTAAGTTTACAGTAAATGGTTGCTGGGCTAGAAGAAAGGCAGCTGTGCTTTAAAGGATTAGCACAGCACACCAGACCAGCTGTGGAGCTGCAAGTCTAAGGCCGCAGAAATGAGGGAAGAAACTGGTCTGTTTAGGAATCAAGGTTTATCAGAATTAAGAGAACGGTACTTTCCACACTGACACACATGGTTTTAGGTGTGTATAGTGGAGCTTTATTTGAACTGTAAGTCATGAAAGTCCATCAGTGCATACATAATCATGTCAACTTTTCACCCGGGCAATAAGTACACTTGAATGGTGAATGCACAATGAAGTATAAAAACTCCATAGCACTATATGGTTAAATATCACATGAATATATTTTTTTATGTGGATGTGAATACTTTTAATCTCTTTCTTTCTCTTCATTTTAGTCATCCATTTCTTTCGCAACTAGTCTGTAACTGTCTTCAAATATGGCAAAAGTAAGTACGTTTCAAGTAATATGGCTCCTTGACAGAGTGAACTACTACTTTGTTGGGGTAACTAGTAACTTTCCTACAACATAGACGGATATATTGGCTTTTTCAAGCATTAGCCTTGTTACTCTTGGTTTTTCACTGGGCATCAGTGTAACATGTACAGGTATGGATAGTCATTGAGAATGTCTTAAAAATATATAATATAAACGAATACTTAAAAAGTAGAGGATTCAAAAGTCTTTGAGGAAGTAAAACTTACTGGTGTTTTGACTGTAGTGTGCTTTCATGTACACTGATGGAATACTTATCTTTAAATAATCAGACTGTGGACAGAGTTTTGTAAACCAGTGATTGAGGAAGACTCAATCAGTTGTCAGAAAGCTCCCTCTGCTGACATGTTAATATAACTGCAGCTTTATAAAGAAGAGAAATGTTCATCACATACTGTATAAGACTGTGTTAATGAATATAATGCATATTTTGTTGTCAGACAAATATCCATCGACCTGAAGAAATTTTAACTTTTATACAGTGGTGGAATGTAACTAAATACACTTACTCTAGTACTGTACTTAAATACCGTTTTGAGGTACTTACTTGATTATTTATGACACTTTATAATTCTTAATACACTACATTTATTTGACAACATTAGTTAGTTACTTTGCAGATTCAGATTATTAATATAAAATAAATTATGATGTATTATTACAGATTATATATATGCTTACACATATATAATGTTTCAATAATTACTAGGAACCATTACCTTACCATGGTGAACAGGCTTGGGTGCTTCTATGAACCTGAAAGCTGCGTTGTCTGGAGCAATGTGCTCCTGGTAGGGTCTCCCAAGACAAAGTGGTCTCAGGTGAGTGGCCAGTCTAAGAATGGTTCACAGAGGACCCCATAAAAGAACGTGGAAGATGTAGAGAGACCCGGCCTGGAGGAAGCCCGGGACCCCCGTCTGGAGCCAGGCCTGGAAGGGGGGCCCGAAAGAGAGCGCCTGGTATAGTGTGAAAGAGTGACGTGGACACATCTTCATCCCACGGGCCCACCACTCACCACAGGACTGCAGCCTCAGCTGTGAGCAAGGCAAAACAGCGGGTGTGGGAGGAGTTCGAAGAAGTCATGGAGAAGGACTTTCAGATGGCACCCAGGCACTTCTGGAAAACCGTCCGACACCTCAGGAGGGGGAAGCGGGGAACCATTCAAGCTGTGTACAGCGGGGATGGGACACTGCTGACCTCAACTGAGGAGGTAATTGGGCGGTGGAAGGAACACTTTGGGGAACTCCTGAACCTGACTAGTCCAACAATCTCTGTGATAGAGGCAGGGCTGGATGATGATGGGGGATCTACATCAAGAGATCATATCTCAACCGGGATCTCCCAGTCAGAGTTAGCCGATGTGGCCAGGGAAAGGGAAGTTTGGGGTCCTCTGCTGGACCTGCTACCCCTGCAACCCGAACCCGGATAAGCGGATGAAGATGATGAGGATGATGAGGATGATAATTATAATCCAGTGATATAAAATACATTACTCTGAAATGGCCCTTTTCTGGATAATGACTATTGTTACTTAATTACTTATACATAATAAGTGTGCATCATTTCATGCCAATACATACCTTTACTCCAGTAAGGTTTTACACTGCAGTATTGCTACTCTTACTTAAGTAAAAGATCTGAGTACTTCTTCACTACTACTTTTATTTAATCAGGTCGTCTGGTTGATATTGAGATCTCTTTCTCAAAGGGGGCCCTGAGAAACAGGACACATTCATAGTCTGACAACCACACAACCAGCATACAAGACAACACAAATAAGACCAGCCAACCACAACTGAGTATCATGAGATGCTCTTGACCAGCATTATACTATTATATACTATTATAATATTATATTATATGTATTGCACACATTTTAATTTGTATTGTATATAATTTCATTCTGGCTGTGGATCTTCACCTGAATTTTAGATAGAAAAAATAGAAAAGTCTAAAAATATAGTGGGATTAAAAGGAATTTAAGAAAGCTGTTGCCTACAGAGTTGTCTCATAATCACAGCCAGATTAGCCTGCTGAACCTGTCGAGCCCCCTGGGGGCTTTTTCCACAACAGGTTTGTGGCACAGTGACTGTAAAAACCTGCAGATCAACATGGTGATCAGTGTGTTTGTCAGAACGTATCAGCTCAGAAGTGGTACTGTCAGTCTCCCAAAAAGTAAGATCTCAAAATATAATCGAGTTGTGGCTTCCAAGGTATAATACCAACTAGATCTGCAACGATTAGCCTCAATCCATCAATTGCTTGACAGAAAAATAATCAGCAACTGTTTTGATAATCGATTATCTGTGAAAAATTCCAGACATTTTCTAGTTTCAAATTCTCAGCTTTTCCTTCTCTTAACATTACAGTAAACTGAAGATCTCTGTGACTTTGGCTGTTGGTCGGACAACACAGGACATTTGATAAAATCACCTTGGGCTCTAAGAATCTGTTTTCTGATGCTTTATAGATCAAATGATTAATCAATTAATTTGTAAAAGAATTAACAGATTTATCAATTGTGAACTGATTATACCAACATGAGTAATCATTCAATGTTCTGTGGTTCCAGGAATTGAAATAAATAAACATTGCACACTGAATAAAGTAGCATCCACAATTTTAAAAGGTCAAATTATGGTTTACAGCATGATGTTACCTGGTCACCATCAAGGACCACAAAGGGAAAAAGTCCTAAACAAAACAAATAATAGTCAAAAACACCAGATGCTCTTGAATGACCAGTGTTATACTTTTATATATATTCCTATTCAACATATCATTTATTGCACACATTTTAAATTGTATATTCCCCCCAAATTTCATCCTGACTGTGACCTGATCTTCACCTGATTTTCTTACCAAGACCAAGATTATTTAAAATTATTTCAAAAAGTAACTTTAACTACATTTAGTGAGATTACAAGAAAAAAAAAGAAGAAAAAAAAGAAAACATGTTCAGCCACATAGTTGTGTCATATCACAGGCAGATTATCCTGTTGGACCTGTGGACCCCGGGGCAAAGGCTCCCCTCCATCCTCCCTGATTATAATTTTTATGTAACATTTTATAATTTCTGTTTTGTTTGACTTGGAGTGATTAAATTGATATTTAAATTGATGGTTTGTTGGAAGGACGATCATCCCTGATATTTACTAGATTTCTTTGGTAACTAGTGACAAAGAAGTTGGTGTTAACTTTTGTACTTGTGCACTTTTTATTAGTGGATTTTTTTGTTTTGTTTTTGTTTTGTTGTACTTGTTTGTATCGTTATTGATTGGTGTGTAAAAGCCATAGTGTTCCTTGGGGACATTAAAAGGTTTGCTCTTACTCTAGTGTTTTTGTTTCATCACTGCAGCGTTAATGTTGGTGTGGTAGAAATCCACGAGCCGGGCACTTGTATGTACATGTCATATTGAATAACACAACTCGCTGTAATCGACACATTTAGAGTTGTTTGCAGATCATTAAAAAAAATGTAAAAAAAAACAGGACTTCAAGCAGCGAACTATTACCATAATCACTTCCGCGTGTGATAGAGGACTTTTGATTTTGTCGAGTTGTTATTGGTTCAGAGAGGCCGAGGGGTTGTTTGCCTGCTTCTCATTGGCTGACCGAGGCAAAGTGACGCGTTGCTTCGACCAATGGGAGGCTGCCACACTGTGGTTAGCAGAAGTCCCGCCTCCTGCCTCCCTTTCTCTTTCTCTATCAGCAGTCTGCACCGGGCCCGTCCGGAGCTTTCAGCTGGCTTTCACATCACCGAGGAGCCGAAGAGGGAGCTGCCGCGGACACAACCTGCAACTCAACCTTGTTGTTTGAACAAGAAGTGAAGAAGTGTTGAGACCGAGCGCAGTGAAATGTGGAGGCTGATCTTTCTGGCCGCTCTCGCTGGGTTTTCCCGGGCCAGTGATGTGCTTGATTACACGGATGATGATTTCGAAAGCAAAATCGGAGACCACGGACTCGCTCTGGTGGAGTTTTTCGCCCCTTGGTGAGTGTTTTAATGTTGTACTGTAAAATGCAGTTTGTATCTGAGCAATTAAAGCTGTTAAAGGAGATAACGATAGCCTAACTGCTCCGCGCTGTAACGTTACAGCTAGCTGACGTTCAGCTGCAGGACTCTGTGGAAAACACTGTGAATTATCTCCGTGGGGGGGGTTTAAAGTATTTCCCTGCTGGTATAAGTTGCAGATTGTATCTCTGTGTGCTTCTAACACGAGCAGAGCTGGTAGTTAGTGAACGTAGTGGCAGACTGACTGTGGTTTAACGCTAACACACGGTAGCATGTTAGCTCGAAGCGGAAAGCTGTAGACCAACTAACTTTACTCGTAGGTTGTTTTTAATGGAGCGGGGATTCAAACACTGCTGGAGCAAACATTACACCGTGAGAATGAAATAAAGTGTGTTTAGTCTGATCTTTGTAGCTGCTTTGAGCCATTTTCAATGGAAACTGTGTGCGAATGAGGCTATGAGGAAGTTAGGGGTGTGTCCTCTCGCTGTTGTAACGTTCTGATTGGCCAGGGAAGTTTTGGTGTCCACCTCTGATTGGTTCAGAGGAAGTATGACGTGGTTCTACTGTGCCAAACTTGAATAAAGCAAGTTAATCAGAAGTAGTGTTAAAAGGTTAATGTTAAAACATTATATAACGTTTGGGTCTGTCGTTTAGGAGCAAAACCACCAAATATTCACTGGTTCTAATTTATAGACTGTGAATATTTGCTGCTTTTCTTAGTTGTCTATGATGATAGACTACATATCTTTGGGCTTTAGACTATTTCACAGACCAAATAAGCAATATGAATAAGCCAGGTTGGGTTTTGGGAAATTGTATGTACATTTTTATTATTTGCTGCTGACATTTTCTGGACTAAACAATTAAAATGACCAACAGAGTACTCAATAATTAAAGCAATAGTTGGTTACATCCCTAATACTTTTCATTAACTCAGTCAGTGAATCGTATTTGGTATTTTACAAATCCTATTGAATTACCTCAGATGTATCACATTCCACTTGGTGAAATCACTACATCTCCTTCGGGATCTTTGCCAAGTTGAAACCTGACTACAGCTGACTTGTAACTTATTCTCCTCTCTGACTCATCTCCTCTGTCCATTAGGTGTGGCCATTGTAAACGACTAGCACCTGAGTACGAGGCAGCCGCCACACGGCTGAAAGGCACCGTCTCTCTGGTCAAGGTATTGCATAATACAGCTCACTTAACGTTGTCCGCTTTAGCGTGGCCTTCTGGCCTTCAAAGTGACCGGTTTTCTTTCCACTTAGGTTGACTGCACATCCAACAGCAACACATGCAGCAAATACGGTGTCAGTGGCTACCCAACCCTGAAGATCTTCAGGGATGGAGAGGAAACTGGCCCCTATGATGGTCCCAGGACTGCAGGTATTTGCTTATGATGTAATTTATTTAAAATGCACAAATACTCCCTATATTGCTTATTTATGTCAACCCATGGTCATCTATATGTTCACTGCCTCTTTCCATCTTTTCTTCCCTCTGTGATTTTCCTTTGCCTTGTCTTGCTCTCTGTAGATGGGATTGTTAGTTTCCTTAAGAAGCAGGCTGGCCCAGCTTCTGTGGAGCTCAAGACAGACGCAGACTTTCAGAAGTACATTACAGACCAAGATGCAAGTGTTGTTGGTGAGTTACGGTTTGACGTTCAGTCACTTCTCTAGCAGTCAGTTTCTGTCCCCTCAACAGTAATATGAATAAGCATGTTAATCCCAGTTTGGGTAAATTTTGACTTGCATACTAACTTTGAGTACAGAATTTTTCTGGCAAAGTTGGTGACATTTAACAGTGAGTAGTAAACAGTACAGTAAACAGTGAGACCATGTTTATTTCTTATCTGAACATGATTCTTCTTCCCTTCTCAGGGTTCTTTGCGGATGACAAGAGCACAGCACAGACAGAGTTCCTGAAAGCAGCCAGCGCCTTGAGGGACAACTACCGCTTTGCCCACACCAACTCTGAGGCTCTCCTCCAGAGCCACGGCATTGACGGAGAGTAAGTAACTCTTTCTGCCTTTGGCCTAGTCATCAGTCCATGTGAGCAGAATCTGCAAATAGTTGCCAACATGTCAAAATAACTTGATTCCTCACACATTTGATATCACCAGTGTAGCTGCCGGTTGTGCAGCAAGTCTACAGTGACGTTTCCTGTGTTGGTTTACAGGGGTGTCATCCTGTTCCGCCCACCACGACTCAGCAACAAGTTCGAAGACAGCTCTGTGGCATACAGCGAGGACAAATATACCAGCAACAAAATCAAGAGGTTCATCCAGGACAACATGTGAGTGCCATCTCAATCCATGCCCCATCTTCTATTTTCATCTAATTCCATTGACAGAAGTTGGTCTCGTTGGCAGTGGTAAGACCTGCATAGCAACAGTATATATTTGCATACATGGCCCAGTGCCAACAGGACCTTGTGTAGTAGGTGAGGTGTCCGCTCTGCAAACAAAGCCACCTTTCACTGAAATCTGGGTTACTGCTTAAATATATCAGGAAGATCTGTACATTTACTGTAGGCTGTTTTTGGTACTTGTGATCAGCATATACAAGACTTCATAATCTGGTATCAGAACATTTTAGTTAATGAGATGGCTTGCCTATATGTTGACTTAAAGTTTAAAAAACACTTGTTTTTTAGTGAGAACCGTAGGAGTGTGAAACCACTAGCATGCTAGTTCCTTTGTTGTTGTTTTGTCCCCCCCCCCCAATTTGCTTTCATGCTGTGCTAAAGGGGCCCCTTTAGATGGCACAAAAAAAGCGGTTATGGTGATAAGCATTTGGTTGATTTTAAAGGCAGATATGAAACTTAGTTTTAAATGAAGCAAAAATCATTACAGTAGTTGCACACATGTCTTGTGGTTTACCAGTGTTTCCACTTCCATAGTTTGTGGATGAGTCTCCTGTATTCTTTTTCCTACTTTATGCGAGATACCCGTATATACTTGTTTTACTTAACTTTGCTACAGCCTCACCTCTTGTCTAAAGAGTAACTTCAAGACGTTGAAGTTTGCAGAACATCACAGTGCTTGGTGTATTTTTGAAAGAAGTGAACAGTGTTCAGCTCTAAACCTTTAAACAAACATTGTCTTGCATGTTACACTGCTGTTTATCCATAACTGGCTAAAACAAATATAGCTTGTTGGTTTAAATTTCTTTGTAAACTGATCAGTTGTTACTTTGTGTCTTCAACTCAGCTTTGGAATCTGCCCCCACATGACAGACGACAACAAAGACCAGCTGAAGGGGAAAGACCTGCTGGTGGCTTATTATGATGTTGATTATGACAAAAACCCCAAGGGCTCCAACTACTGGAGGAACAGGTATGCTACATTAAACTCTCCCCAGGTTTGTTCTTTCCTCAGCACAGTGCAGTCTTCTTGTGTCTTTTTTAAAAAGAATAAAAAATCCAAAACAATATTGAAATTAAGTCATTGCAAATGCTTAGCTGGCCTTTTTTGTGTTCTTATGTTTCATACTCTCTTCCATAGTTGGATTTAGCCAAACCTTCCACTCCCTACATACAGCCGTTGAGTTGATGTACCACTTACATTTTACAGGGTGATGAAGGTGGCCAAGAGCTTCCTGGATCAGGGAAAGAAGCTGAACTTCGCAGTGGCCAGCAAGAATATATTCAGCCACGACGTGTCTGAGTTTGGCATGGATGGCAGCTCAGGAGAACTGCCTCTGGTGACCATCCGCACCGCCAAGGGAGACAAATACGCCATGACTGAGGAGTTCTCGTAAGTCAAGTTGGTTCTCACATTTATTACGACACAGTCAACCCTGCACAGTAGTCAAATGGTAGCAGTCCGATCTGTTGAAGGAATGATTACTAAATAAACAGGTGAACAGAAATACAGTACACTTAAATATTCTGCATGTGTTTTCCCAAACCCTCAATTTCCTGACTGATTACTTGAACACTTTCTGTTGTTTTCCTAACAGTCGTGATGGAAAAGCTCTGGAACGTTTCCTGCAGGACTACTTTGATGGCAAGTTGAAGCGCTACCTCAAATCAGAGCCCATCCCAGAGAGCAACGATGGACCTGTCAAGGTGAGATGAAACCTCCAGGAAAATGATCCTAAAATGTGCTGTATAGTGATGTTTTATATTGTTTATTAAGTGTGGCCTCTTGGTTTTCCTAGAAAGTATTTTTCCATGTTGCTCCCACATTCATACTTCATGTGTAATATTTACACTCTTGTTGTGTAAAGGAGTAAGAAAATACACACAAATGATTGATCTTCAGTACAGTCAGATCACACCCTAAGGTGTACTATGGGGTTATATCTCCTGTTTTGTAAGGGTTGGATTCCCATCTTTCTGTCTCTCCAGCCAGTTAGCGTACTCAAAGTGGAATGATTGTTTAATAAAACTCGGTAGAACTTTAAATACTATAAAACTTTAGTCAAACAAAAACTAGCTCATAGTACTTAGAATAAACTAGAATTAACAAGGGGTCATACAAATATAGCATGAACAGTTACGGTGCATTTTAATAATGCAGGTTCTGTACTGTGATTATAAGCTAGTAAACGAGTTGTAAATATAAAACAGGCATTTAAAAGCAATGTATATAGTTACTGGTTGGTTCAACAACTATGATGAAACATTAAAGCATTTAGCAACATAATGCTGCTTTCACATTTTTGCAGTTTTGATTATTGGCCAGTATCCAATGATACAATGACAGCCTACAAAACTCGTGCTTTTCATAACCCTACAGCCACATCGCTCATGTCTTTAAATACTGTCTTTTAAAAAGAGCTACTCATCAATCCATAATGATGAACTTGTGATGTCTGTCGTTTGTATTCAGGTTGTGGTGGCCGAGAACTTCGACTCCATCGTCAACGACGACAGCAAAGACGTGCTGATCGAGTTCTACGCTCCCTGGTGCGGACACTGCAAGAACCTGGAGCCCAAATTCAACGAGCTGGGAGAGAAGGTGAGGGAACAGACGCCTAACAATGTCCTCGGGATAAATATTGTTAGATTTTATCCTGCTGCTGTTTCAATATTTACCACACTAAGATAATACTCTAAGGGTCACGTTTTAATGACCTTAACCAAAGAATGGCTTAATGCGAAGTGTTTACTTCAACATTTACACAAACAAACTATGAGAGACCAGATTAAAGGTCCGGTGTGTAGGATTTAGTGGCTTCTAGTGGCGTAGTTGATCGCAACTACCTCGCCTCACCCTCCCCTTCAAAGTGTATGCCTTCTGAGGATTGTGATTTGTAACTTTGGGCTACATTATAAGAATTTGACGTGACTTAAAAGAAACCGTTTTAGGTTTAAAAGTGAAGGGAGCCTTGTGTTGACGGCGGTCTTCTGATTTCAGTTCTGTACTTAATAATTCATTTTAAAAAACATTTTGTAATTAATAGAAACTACAAACGCATTAAGTAAATATTATTAAGTACTGGTTGAAGGACCAGACAACACTTACAGACTGTCTAGAAGAAGATTTTGTGAACTAGCTTGCAGATGGTTAACAGTCTCTCTCCTCTGCTCTTCAAGCTCGGCAGTGATCCCAACGTTGTCATTGCCAAGATGGACGCCACAGCCAACGATGTGCCATCTCCATATGAAGTCAGCGGGTGAGTCATGAGTCGCTTCAATGTAATATTCAGCCTTCCCTTAAGCTAGGGAAAGCCTTAAAGGTTTGCTTCAGGTAATGCTTTGATAGTTTGGAATAATTCACTCCACAGAGATTCAAACTCTCCACAGAGATGCTTCCTAATAATGGCTGTCAAATGTCACCAAAAAACCTAAACTGTCCTGTGATTTGCTCATTTACTTTTCATTTAGGTTTTTTTAGAGAGTTGTTCTGGATAAAACAGCAACAAAAATCAGGCTCAAAAATCCTGTGTCTGTCTGGCTGTACAGTAGATTTTTGTGGGTGTGTGAGCTCTGGATAAGTTAGTTTTGACATCTCGGTCAGTGTAATTACAGATTTTAAATACAAATGTTGCTGTCTGACACACTCATCATATGAATTCTCATCACTCTCCTTAACCTTTTGCTTTTCCAGTTTCCCCACATTGTACTTTGCCCCAGCTGGACGTAAGATGAGCCCAAAGAAATACGAGGTGAGTAGCTGCATGAGCGAACGTTAAAACAAAGTAAAAATCATGTTTGCTTGAACTCCGCTAACTGTCCCGTCTCACCGTTAATGCTCCAGGGAGGTCGCGAGGTGAGCGACTTCCTCTCCTACCTGAAGAGAGAGGCCACCAATCCTCTGGTGATGCAGGAGGAGTCCAAGAAGAAGAAGAAGAAGAAGGACGACGACGACAAGATAGAGCTATAAAAGCTCCAAACAGGAACTCAACACCCCCCCCAACAACAGGAGGAGGACGATTGGGGAAATCATGCAAAGAAAGAACTAAATTATATTCCACTGTCTTAGTGAACTACCGAATGCTCTGAAGCCAAGTCGAAAAGATGCGGCGCTCCCTTTAGGTCCTCCACTGCTCTGGGAAAACTGTGGAAGGTGGTGGCCTGGGCCTGTCCGCTTGTTTAAAAACAAAAACAAATTTTTAGGGAAGAGGGGACAGCTTTTGAAAATTGAGATTTTATTTCCCCTGGTCTGTCTACCACACCTCAGACTGATGCACTTTGGTTTGACACCAGTCTCCAGTCAGCAGTCATATTGGTTTTTGTTGTTGTCGTCGTCACAGGGGATAATGGTAATGGTGAATTCCTTTTTTTCTTTTCTTTTGTTCTTTTTGGGGTTTTTTTTGTTTTTGTAACACGTTTTTGTTTTTGTACATTTGGAAGGATTGTGAAATAAAAAGGCCCACAAAACCAAAACCAACTGTATGATCTCATTCATGAATGTAAATGTTTAATCATATCGCCCTGACGGGTAAAGGCTTTCTTTTACTTCTCAATACTGTATTACGTAGTTGCATTCAGTGATCGAGAGACATATAGGACTGCAATTAAATATTTTTTTTCAATTATTAATGTAATTGTAATGAATCCATCGGTTGTTTGGTCTATATAATGTCAGAATGGTAAATATACATAAGTTCCAAGGTCTTCAAATATTTTATTGTTGTTGTTCAACCAAGAGGCCAAAACTTAAAGATATTCTACTTATAATGAGAAAAGTAGAAAATCCTAATCGTTTTTTTCCTCAATAAATAAACTGAATTATTCAGTGACTGAATGTTTTTGTCAACCAAAATCTTTAGCACTTGTTATATAAATTGTATCGTGTGGGTGTAAAATCTGGATTGAACTGACGGGTGTGAGAATTACAATGTGGGACCATGAGTCTCCCATCATTACACCACTGTAGAAAATAATGCAACAGAACTGCTTTTCTACAGTATTAAATACATTAAGGTATTTCTGTACGGGATCATAAATCGCAGATTAATTAGACCAACATGTAATGCTCAACACTTCAGTACATTTAGTTTCATTAAACGTATGGCTTTTTATCAGTTAATTAGCATTTCATGTAATCCTGTAAGTCACAAGGTTTGTTTCAATTTTAGAGAATTGTGGGTTTTCAGTGATACAACAGGGGAAAGGTGCAGCTGAGTTTCTGTGAATTGGACTACAAACTACATTTATATTGCTGTGTTTATTAAGGGGCTGATTTAATGGCTTTGGTTCACTATAAACATACTGTGTGTGTGTGTGTG